GATACCTTCAAAATTAAATCTTAAGTGGCCAGTTTGCTGTAACGGTTAATTTAATATTAAAAGTTGTACATTTATTTTTTACTGGAAAATGAATGACGATCAATTTGCAATTATAACCAAAAGTTGAGGCCTTCTTGAGCTTAACACCCATAAAAATCATACATTATTATTCAACACCTTTTAATTGTTCGATATCACATCAACGGAGGTAAAAGATTTTTTTCTTTTAAAACATGTAGAGACGCGGCGCCAAGAGTACATTAATATTTTCCTTGCATAAGCAATTAATTAGAATAAGTACGTTGCTTTTTGACAGTCGTAATTAGTTAGTTCACCACTGACTGAAAATCTGACAAATTATTAAATTAGTTAAAAATACGCGAGGCAGTGATTGTTCCAAATTCGGCGATTAATAAAAAAGGTTAGCCAACAAAATGTTTGGTACCTCTCGATCAGGAGCCTGGTCATTACCTTCAGGAATATAATGAAACCGCTTATTACAATTTCTGTGAAACAAGGTCGATCTGTGACTAGTCAGATTGGTCTACTCTTCAAGTCGCCAGCAATTGACGAAACACAGTCGTGACTCAGATATTTACCGTCTTAATCTGTTCTCTGTGCACGTCACAACTCACACTGGATTTGTCTAACTATTCTAACAAAGCTACATTTCTGTAGCGTGCTGTAGTACAGCACAGGCATGATATCTATTTCTCAAGTATTGTTTTAAAGTCCAAAGACCCATAGGTCAAATTCAGGCAAGAATAGTATATATATTTTTAACATGTAGTATTCGATCTCGTTTCCTTGGAACTCTTCATTGAATTCAATTGCTAAAACGTCGCTTCTCTCAATTGTGTGGTATAAACATAATGCACTCCACTATAAGTTCGATGAATTCATTTTGACTCCAACAAAGCATGCCTACACAAGTTTAAAGGAATGCAAGCTGCCAAGCTCCGTGCGTCGTGCTAACATTTCCACTGATGTTTCACGGACAAAATGTGATTAGGAAAAAGTAATTCCAAAAGTTGAGTTTTTAATCTAGTCATTGAAAACTTATACGGGTCCTCTTGTAGAATAAAAACAATAACACGGCGGAAAATTTCAGGGTTTATTCTACATGGATTGAATTAGCTTTAAAATAAAACGAATAATGAAATACAACCTCATTTTTTTTACCGCCCTCCAAAGTTGAGGGATGGAAGAGATTTTTCACCAAAAAATTAATTTAGATTCTTTGCGTTGATTTTTTTGTCTCAAAAGGCTACCAAGGCTAAGAAATTATCTTTTATGAAATCCCTCGATTATGCCTGACTTCTGCTAAACTTCACTGACACTGCCCGTTAAAGTTTATTGAAGAAAATTAGTCTTTCATTTGTGTTCCTGTGCCACTTCAGCACGGTACACGTTGGAAATGCAACTTTAATATTATCAAAGTAGGGCTTGCCTGGAATTATTTTCTCCTTCGTTTCACAGTGGTTCAGTCTCCTTTTCCAAAACTGTTTCATAATCAGAATAATTCAATACTGTTTAATCAAGGGTTGTATTTTCAAGTAACACAGATAAGTAGGTGTTACCTCAGGCGTATATCAAACTTCGTAAAATCGCAATCGGCTTTTCCAGTTCCTGCTTACGGCTTGAAATAAATTGAAAACGTAAAGAAGACTACCCGTTAAAGGAGCTGGGGTAGTGGGATCGTATAGAACGTTGGCTCGTCTCGAATTCTGAGATAAGGATTACAAGTGATACGATCGCCATCTCATACAAGATTCAGGAACTTCGAGGAGAGTGGTCTAGCTTGCGTTCTACTTTTTGCTTGTGCAACATACTGAATGTACTAGCTGTAGTGACTTTTTTACTTGCACTAGGTAGAAGCAATTTCGTACCTTCCAACAATAACGTCATTAATAAATACATACCTAACGAAAAGTTGGGAAGGTCTTTTAACGAACTTCACAGTGAAGTTACCGGTATTACTTTCATATGTATCAATCTTTCTCACACAGGCATATGCTTATGCAATCTATCTCTGCAGACTCTCTCGTAGACATATAGTGTCTTTCACTGTTTTTAGCGGTTTTGTCACCATGTGGTATAGAATAAGTAAACAGTTTGAATAATGATAACATGTGTGTACTTTAACTTCCCTAAGGGAAACTGCATACTGCGGAAACCGATCAGGAACGCAGCTGCTACTTGCTCTCACACACACGTAAATTGGGTGATACTAGACGTTTGTTTTACTTACCTTGTTGTAGTTGTATCTTGAGGCACTACTGTATTCTATATCGAAGAACAAGCAAAATGTCATACTGACATTGATAAGCATAAATGTGAACTCATACGTTGGCGAAAAAATGTTCGTTGCGGTGAAACAAAAATGGCCATTGAGATTACACAAAAAAATTGTCTGCGCAAAAGGTCGGATGAATATGATTTTGTGAGGGAGATGGATGTATGAAAGTATTTCCCGTATTTCTATTGTAACCAGCCAAACACCGAGAAAAAAGATGCCAACACTGACAACTGTCACAAAAAGAGTTATCACTGGCATCACCACAGCATACTGAGTTTCTCAGTAGACCATAGCCGTTTGTTCGAAATCCATTCGTCTGTCACTACACGGCTAGGCTTACACAGTGCTGACAATAATAATAATAATAATAATAATAATAATAATAATAATAATAATAATGATAATAACGCTCCACAGAAATCCAACCCCTCTTCCGGAGCAAGAAGTCAAGCATTAGCTCCAAGTGTGGAGCGGGCAGCGGCACAAAGAACATCAGTGTGCATAATTCTGGCGAACGGGGCTCTGGTAAGATATATCCACGATGTCAGGTAAAACTACGAAACAGATACCCCAGGTAGGTAGAGCCGCTAGCTCAGAATCCTACACTGCACTTGCAGTCAGTCCCGCGGATTCTGGGGGGGACACCTTGACATTAGGAGCTACAAACGCCCCAGCAAGGACAGCGTTTTGTAATGGAAATCAGCAACCACCAAATCAACGGCTAAGGGGCTCGCGGAACATTAGCCTGCGAAAACCTTACTCAGAACTACCTCCAGCACAAGACCTACATCCCACAGATTCAGTTCAAAGGGACAGTCTTGAAGCACGACCTGATCAGATGAATAATCTTAGAAGACGAAGATGGTCAAAGGAGGAGAACTATGAAGTGATGTGGGCATACTACAGTGCGATTGCAAGTAAAATCGCAGCTCCAAAAACAAGAGGCACTTTCGAGATCTGGAGAAATCGTAATCCAAATATTATGCCAGAAATGAACGCACAAAAACTGTCAAACCAGCGACGTGTAATAGAAAGGAATTTAACGGAAGCAGAACGACAGGAAATAAAATGCGGTGTGTATTCGTACCTTCACCAGCAAGAAAATGAACCTACACTGCCACCTGCTACCATAGAGAGTAATAAAGGAGAGCTAGCTGAGAATAACAACACTCCTATAGCGACTAAGAATGACGAATTATCTGAGAATAACGATGCCAGGTGGCATGCTCAGGGTGAGGCAGTTGAACTGGAAAAACAGATTCTTGAAAAATATCATGATGTGCAGGCTACTCGGATTGAACACCGTAAAGGGATAAAAAAACCAAAGTATGGTAAACACCTGACCGAAGATATTAGAAAAGCGAATAGAGCACTAGGTAAAATCTGCAGAGATAGACAGTTAACAATAACTGATCTCAATCATCTAATATATGCTTCTGCAGCTATAATAGCGGGAGAGGAAGAGAATAACAACAGCCCTAGGACTAAAGAAGGACCTGAAGGCCCCCGATGGAAGATGCGCCTAAAGAACAAAATTTCGCAAATTCGCCAAGAAATATCCATTTTAAGCGAAATAAATAAGGGGGTAGTTTTCAGTCATGTTTTAAATAAAGCTGACCGAATAAGGGCTAAGTATAGCCATTCATCGCTTGGTGACCTAATAAACACACTAAAAATGAAGTTGCAAGCGAAGGCTCAGAGATTGCGGCGATAGACAAGACGTGTCGATCAGTACAAACAGAATAGGCTATTCCAAGCAAATCCCAAGAAATTTTACAGGAGTCTAAAGGAAGAAGTACAGGTACAAGAACCACCATCAAAAGAAGATGTCGACTCATTTTGGAGAGACATATTAGAGCAGGAGATACCTCACAACAAAAAAGCTGTCTGGATTGAGCAAGAAAGGCGAAACAACAGCCAAATTGTCACCTCTCAATGGCATGACTATACCGAAGACGAAGTTAAGGAAGTCATTAGGTGTTTGCAAAATTGGAAAGCACCAGGGCCAGATAAGATCTGTAACTTCTGGATAAAATCCTTCAATGCACTCCACTGTCAGCTGGCTGTTGCTATGAGCAATTTGACCAAACATCCTAACAACACTCCGCAATGGTTGACAACTGGTATCACATATTTGCTGTACAAAGGCAAAAATTCTAAAGAGGCAAAAAATTATCGTCCAATTACCTGCTTACCCACACTGTATAAGGTTCTTACTTCACTTATTTCTAATAGACTATATGACCATCTGTCCTCTAACAACATTCTACCGTCAGAACAAAAAGGCTGCCGTCGATCAACTCAAGGCTGCAAGGATCAGTTACTCATAGACAAAATGTTAGTTGAAGATGCCAAGAAGAGAAAACGAAATCTAAGCATGGCCTGGATAGACTACGCCAAGGCATTCGACAGTATACCTCATAGTTGGATCCTTGAAGCTCTGAGTTTATATGGAGTTAATCCGATTGTTGTGAAGTTCCTAGAATCATCTATGAAGAAGTGGAATACCGAATTACAGCTGCATCACGCTGAAGGGTGCCTCAAAACTGATAAAATAAGAATCCGCAGAGGGATATTCCAAGGAGACTCCTTGTCACCGCTGCTATTCTGCATCTCCCTGGTTCCACTGACTAACGCTCTGAATTCTGGAAAACTTGGATACGAGGTCAGGCAGGGTTCCTATATAAGTCACCTATTATATATGGATGACCTCAAGTTATTCGCATCCAGCAACAAGCAGCTAGATAGAGAGCTAGACATTGTGAAGCGGTTTAGTGAGGACATATGCATGCAGTTAGGCCTGGAAAAATGTAAAAGGATCACGATTACCAGAGGAAAGATCTCAATGAATGTAAACCAAATAACTGAAAATAGTGCAGGATTTGACTACCTTGATCTAAGTGAAACCTATAAATATCTTGGCGTACATGAAAGTGACGAGGTACATCATGAATCTATGAAAGAAAATGTGAAGAAGGAATACTATGGTCGGTTAAGGCGAATCTTGAGAACAGAACTGAGCGCCAAAAATAAAATAAAGGCAGTCAACAGTCTTGCTGTCCGGTAATGCAGTATAGCTTTGGAATATTGAACTGGAGCGGATCAGACATCGAAAAAATAGATAGAAAAACCAGGAAACTGTTAACCATCTATAAGTTTCATCACCCCAAAGCTGACAAAGACCGACTCTATATTCCAAGGCGCGATGGTGGCAGAGGTTTAATTGAACTCTGCAGTGCCTACAGGATGACAATTGCCGGCCTTTATGAGTATATACTCCATTCCAACGACAAGTTCATCAAGTTAGTGCTATTGCATGAGCAACAAAAGGCTAAATACTCCATTACAAAGATCGGGGAAGCCATGAAAAGACAATATGCATACCAACTGAACGAAGATCAGTCAGCGGACAACTTGAAACTCAGAGTAAAGGAGGCCATGCGAACAGAAAAAGTCAACGCCCTAAAATCGAAACCACTCCATGGACAGTTCTACAATAACCTACACAAAACCAATGTAGATAAACACATGTCCCTGGATTGGATGAAAAGTACAGGACTGAAGGCGGAGACTGAAAGTCTACTGATTGCTGCACAGGACCAGGCACTTAACACGCGCTACCATAGAAGAATGGTCCTGAAACAGAATGTCGACAGCAAATGCAGAATATGCCATCAATGTGAGGAACATATAAGCCACATTATTTCAGGCTGCTCAACACTGGCACCAACAGAATACACCGAAAGGCACAACAACGTCGCTAAATACATACACTGGGCTATCCTCAAGCAGCACCAAGTACCAGTTAGCAACAACTGGTATGATCATTCTCCTGAAGCAGCAGTAGAGACAGACGAAGCATTAATTATGTACGACAAAGGAGTCATTACCGACCGTACGATTTCCGCCAACCGACCTGATATTATTTACCATAATAAAACACAGAACACATGTCTGCTAATTGAGGTATCTGTACCAGACGACAACAACGTCAGCACCAAAGAAGCGGAAAAGGCCAGAAAATACAAAGACCTCGAAATCGAAATATCGCGCATGTGGAAGACAAAGACAAGAACGGTACCCGTGATCATCGGAGCTTTGGGGACTGCCACTATGTCATTCAAGAACAACATAAAAGAACTCCCCGGAGATGTCTTTGCAACACAAGTTCAAAAGATAGCACTGCTAGGAACAGCCCACATTTTGCGGAAAACCCTTTCCGACTAAACACCTTAGAACTCAGGCAGAGTTCCGGTCAAGCTCATCTCTTCCTCTAGGAGTGAAATACAGAATAATGATAATAATAATAATAATAGTAATAATAGTAATAATAATGTTTATTGTCACAAAATACAGGTGAATATTAAATATTGTGCACAATAAACATAAAGCACTCAAAAAATTTTGCACTTGTGTTTGGGTTTGTCAAAAATGAAAACTAAAAGTAGTCAGCATATGAAAAACAAAAAACCGTTAATACTGTATTATGGTAATGTCAGGAAAAATGTCCAGACAATTATAACTAAAGTAAAAGTATGGATGTTAGTGTAAATAAAATATTATTGATTTTGATAATGATTTTTCATATCTACAAGATCGATTTTGAGCAAAGTAGGAAAATGATCAGAAATTTTGTATTGTAGAATTGCTGAATACCTATATTTTGTCAAGTTCTATACGTGAATTTATAAACATATGATCTATACAGCTCCCAATGTTTCCCTCTACTCTTGTCATTTCGTTAACGGCTGACAGGTAATCATGTTCAGCCATTATATTTAAATAATCTTTAATATCTTGGTTGTTGAGAACTAATATGTTAATGTTAAGGTCTCCAATAAATAAGTTGACGTCAAATTTTCTACTGCTCTCTAGATAATCATGTAATTCATTGCTAAATGATGTTACAGATATACAGGATGATTTGTACACATCAGTGATCTGAATCCATTTATTGTTCTTATGAAGAATAAATAGTAAAGGTCCTGTTTGAATTATATTTATATTTTCACATCCACTGTTCAAATTTTGTCTTACGTAAATCAGAACCCCGTCATTTTTATTAAAACTACTATCTTTATAATATAAATCATAATTGGGATTTTGGATCAAACTCGTATCATATACTTTGAATGCTTCAGTTAGCACTATAACATCAAATTTAAAATGTAGTATGTCCAAAAAGGCATGGAGTTCATTCATATTTCTATGAATACTCCTTATGTTCATGTGAAAGATGTTCAATCCTGAATCAATATTATTAGAAAAACGTAATTTTGTTGTAGGTAAGTCGTCTAAAATATGTGTTTTGATTACTTCAGGTCTAGATTCTGTATTGTGTCTACTCATAAATATTCTAAGACCTTAGCAATTTAGAATAAAATTCTTGATATATGTCTTTGTTGGAAAAATTCAAATACAGCACAACATTTATCTGTAGGGGAGTGATGCGTGTCATAGTTTCTATTGTATTTTTTGTTTGAATACACACAGTTACAACAAATGGGATTAGTAGATTTGTTGCATGAAGTAATATCATGTTCTTCTCCACGTTTCAAGCATACTTTATGACTATTGCATTTCTTACCAGATTGATTAAACTTGAAGAAATTTGTACACTCATTTACCTCATTATTAGGATATACTGATAAATTTTGAAAACCAATTATAGTTTTCCCTCTATTATTATCAAATGTTTGTCTAAATAGTTTACCTGACACCTCTGCATAAACTACGTTCATCTTTTTTGGAGGAAAGAATCTAACATAGGTGATTTTATAAATTTTCTTTTGTTATAAAGTGGTTTTGTCGCACAATATCTTCTTCTACAATCTTTATTTTAGGATTAAACATTTTCGGTTCGGATATTGTATATGTTGATGGCAGATTCTTCCAAATTTATTTTTTTAGCTTCTTATGGTAGCGGTCTTCTACATATAATTCTTAGTTCTGTAGTTAGACTGTTGTTGTTAAAGGGTAATGATAAGGCTTTTAAGTGTCCTTTCTTTACTCTTTGATGGTGTGTTTATAACTACTTGGGCATATGTGGAATTTTTTGTTGTTGATGTTTCCTCCAACTTCTCATTTCTCCTAAGCAGTTTCTCAAGTGGTGGTTACTATACAGTCCCTATCGACGATGTTTGATGAAATAAGATCATACTGTTCTTGAAATCTGCGGTTTTCTTTTGATAGGTGGTATACTAATGTTTCTATTTCCAAAAGTAATACTTGACAATTTTCTAACAGCTCCTGTTGTAATAATTTATTCTGTTTTATCAGGTACTCACATGTTTCTTGCGTTGACGTAATAGAATCACAGCTAATGTTGACAGTCTCGTCTTCATCCTTTTTCTTTCTCCGAGTCATTGCACACTCAGTATTTAGAATTTTGTATCACTGATCTAGCTTGTCAAAATTGTGTCAAAGTTGTATATGAATACAAATGGCCGAAAGTGGTTTACCTCTTGAAAATTGTCTGATCCCCAATTGTGGATACCCTAATGTAGTCTAGGAACAAATTCAAGAGCAGCGACAAATTATTTGATTTTGGACAATATGGTGATGGAACTGTGGAAAAAGGTAGATAATAAGTCTAGCAAATGATTATAGATAGATTGCTGAAAAGCACGACACAACGTTGTATGCAGTAATTCATGATAACAGAGACGGAAAGGAAACAGATTTACTTTAGAATGTCATAAGCATGCATTTTTTAGTTTCGTCTCGCCGCCTTACAACGTTTCTCGTCAATCTGTATGCCTTCCATATACATGGTGTTCCGTACTTTAAGGGACATAATAAAATGATAGGTAGAATGGACTGAGACATTCCGACATCTGAAAATAGATAGGTTCTGAATTTACTTTTCGCGGATATACAGGGTGGTTCATGAGAACACGCGAACTTACCTAGGAATGAAATAAAGCTAGACGTACTGGATTTTGTGTTTTGTTGCCTTTCAAAAAAATCACCAGTTTTTAAGCTGGGTATTGAAATGTTTGACTATATACACAAAAAGTCAACAAATGGTTCTAATTTATTGCCAGAATATATAATGATTGCGCCTAATTTGTATGTTTTAGTTAAAAAATTCTATTCAAAACTTTAAGGGTCAATATATTGGTTTTGTCAACATTGTCAAAATAATGGTCAAAACTGGAGTAAAGATGTTTTGATAACTCAATATTCCATGATCGGATTCAGTCTTATTTCCTTGTACTTTATCAATTGCAGCCGCTTGTAAGTTATACATTATATCAGGTAACCAAATAAGTTCGTGTGGTTTTTAGTAGAAAAATATAAATTTTTATTGACACACTATTTATTCGTCGAAGGAATTATCATCACACTCAATGACCGTTTGCCAACCTGGAACCAATTTTTGTATGCCGGTATTGTATCCCTGGATTTGGAGTAGAAAAATTGACGGACTGCATTTATTCCACCATCTCGAGTTTTCAACTGTCGGTGCCTCATACAGTTGTCAAGAGACAAAAAAGGTGAGAATCACTGAGCGAAATGTCGGGAGAATATGACGGGTGAGGTAACGTTTCCTAGCCGAGTCAAACATTTTTTCTCGGATCACTTTTGCGTTATGAGGCTTGGCGTTATCCTGCAAGAATATCACTTTCTGCCGAATGATCAAAGAAGGCTGTTTTTGGATGAGTGCTGCTTGTACTCGTCGAAGCTGCTCACAACACAAGTTAGCAGTGATGGTTTGACCCCTTTCCAAAAACTCATAATAGACAATTCCAGTTGCTGTCCACCAAACAAACAACAAAACCTTGTTTGGTTGCAAGGAAGCCTTGGGCGTGTGTGGTACCGAATCAGTAGGCGACAACCAATGATACGAACGCTTAGAATTCGGCTACTAACCGATTAGGAAATGGTTCATTAGCGTTGCGTGAAATGTTTGCTGAACAAATGGTAACACGATTTAATTTGTTATCATCTCTCAGTTCATGTGGTCCACATCTTTCCCAGCTTATGAAGATGCAAACGAATAGTTCCAGGACTCACTCTGAACATTTCTCCAAGTTCTTGGCACGCTGACCTGGAATTTGCGTCCACAACCTGTCGAAAATCCTCGTTGTTCATGATTTTTGGTCTCCCTGGGCGCGGTTCACCGCTCAAAATGAGATCTCCCGAAAAAAATTTTTTGAACCACTTCTGTGCTGTTCGTTCACTAACGGCATCATCTCGCAATGGGGTACATATTTTTCGCGTTGCCGCTCCAGCTTTTCAACCAAGTTTGTGCTCATACAGTAAACAACTTCGAATTACTGTTTTATTCGTCGCCATTTTCAAGTATTAAAGCTAGGTATGTAACAATTTTCATCAACTTTTTATGTGTGTGAGAAAAGAAGGATTCATACTAAAGTGACAACAGATAACAAACAATCGATATCGATCAACAACATCCATGGCAATGTGCGATATACAGCAACCGCACGAACTTATTTGGTTACCTGATATTTCAATGATGATAATTTTATGATTTAACTGATGTTATACAATATGAGCCCGGCTTTGAAGGGAAAGGATTATTATTATGAAAATGTGCTAAACTTGACTTTCCAGGCGAATTCAAAATGATGATGAAAATGTACAGCATTTTCAGCATAACTACATTTATGTACTCTTATCACAACCTTAGCTAAGATTTACTTACATAATGCACACACGTCATATAATTGAATGTCATGTCCGAATCTGCATACTACCTTTTTGTGGATTTTTAACTTAATTTTTAGTTGGTCTGGAAGTTCAAATTTAGTGGAATTGCATATTACGTGTCATTTCCCCTTCAGACAGAGCTAATGTTGTATAATTATCAGTTGGTGAAATTGTACTATTGACAATATCGACGAAAAAGGTAAACAGGGTGCTTAACATTAATTTTCACTTTTATTCATATGATGCAATGCTCTTTTTCTTACACTTAATAAGATACGAGGAAATAAAAAAACTGAATAGGGCCCTGGTATAGGTTCATAAAATATATTTGGTTCAACTTTAAGTACTATTTTGTAAAATGTTGGTGAAGCCAAGTTAATATCGCTAGAAATTTTGAGTTCTGTGTCACATATATGCTAAAAATAAGACCTTTAATAAAATTAACATTTTAACTAAAAGAACTAAAACAGGCGCAATCTATTTTGCTAATTAATTAATACAATTCCATATTTTTTTTTGTAGATAGCCAAAATTTCAAAATTCAGCTTAGAAGGTGTTGATGAAAAACAAAAAGTGAAAAAAATCGACACCAGCCCGGAATTTCTTGAATGCCCGTCTAGTTTTGCGTTACTCCTATACAGCTTTATTATCGTGCAAGTTTTCAACAGAATGGGTTCAATAGTGCCTGAAGTATGTGATAATTAATATTTGACATGCTTAGGTGAATCATCCTGTACATCATTAAGCCTATAACTGAATTTAAACTTATTTTATTATTCATCCCGGTTCATACTAGCAACTATTTTACTATGTCCAGTTACCCATGGAACACCCTGTGTATGGTTGTCAGTATCACTATGACAAGTCACGTGTCATGAGCGTACGAGTTGATTGTCGATATAAAACCAGAGTAATACAAAAAATGAGTTGACGATCAGATTACAATTTACCTTATGAAAGTTAAGCTTGGTACATCACATGATACAGTTACTCGATCTGTTTGCCTACTTAGTTTGTATGACATCGGTGACACACCCTGTATATGTATATATTTTCTTCCCTATTGAAACAGACTTAATCCAATTATCTCCGGCTTCAGTATAATAAATAAGTTCAATTAAGATATGAACTTGCTGAGAATTACTGGCGTTAATCTAACATTGTAAACTGCGCTTTATACCAACAAATTTTGCAGATGTTGAGTAGCAACTAGGGAAAATAAAAGATCAAGACTAGTAAATCTAATATGCAACGAAGCGAACTTCTCTCTGAGCAATATCCGCTGCATGGAACTAACTTTGACAATGCCCTGAAGTTTCAGTTGTAATAGCTGAGAAATAAGATATTTTCTCCCTTATTTTGGCCAGTCGAGCGGAAGTTGTGCCTCTATTCGTTGAACGGCAGCAAATTTCATAGAAGAGAAAGCACTGCATCTTGCAGTCTCTTCTCAAGAAAAAACCTTACCAATAATACTGTTGCCTCTGTGACCCCCGTTAAGGTAAAACGATCGTAAACATTTTACGAATTTCTTAAATTCAATTCGAATCGATTATTAATAACAATAAACATCGTAATGATTAAAACTCGTGAACGAAATCTCTGAATTCCAGGGTGTCCAATAAGTTACAGGGTGGCCAACATACATGGTGTCCCAGACAATATTATAATGAAAATTGTATATGAACTGGCCTAAGTCTTTTGCGACGGGATGTTTAAATTTATAAGAAGAAAATCGTTTCCATTTCTATCCCTGAAAGTATCTTTTTATTATATTGTCCCACCAAAGGCGTCCCTTTAAATATGTTAGGGAATCTTTAAATTACGTAATGTGACCGGCAAAGTAGCATTCGATCTGGCAACACTGGAGGCGTCGGGCCTGGAGGGAAGACAGGAAAGCATGTGATCCGCCTTCAGTACAAGTTTCAACTCGCTCTAGTCATTTGGTTGATCGTGACGATTTGTTGTTGTGTTGTTAAACAGTTTCTTCTATTGTGATAAAAAAATTAGGGACATCAATTTCGAGCAACGGTGTGATATCAGGTTGTGCTTCAGACTTGAACAAAGTGCAACGGAAACTCTTGCTAAACAGGCCTATGGAGAAAGTGTCTTGTCAAGAGGCTTTCGTCTTCAAGAACCAATGTATCAAGAGATTCCTGGATCTTGTGTGGCTTCAGAAGAAAGTCATTTTGAGGATGACAATATAAAATTGTAATTATATTTGAATAAAAAAATTAGAGGAAGTCAGTCTCATCACTTAATTTACAGACCTTGTAGGTCCAGGCTAACTAAATTTGTTTGCAACTAGGTCATAATGTAACCTTTCGCTACTTTATCTTTGTTATAGTCCGTACTTTTACCTTTGTCTCCCACATCAGAGCCGAACGCTCCTCCTCGTGCCACTGTCTTGACAATCTACGGTACTGAACCAAATCGAATAACAAAGAGATATTCGAATCCCCATCTATTTTTATTCTATCCCTTAAGCAGTCCAAGTCAATTTATCAGGGTGCCACAACGCATTGCCTCTTCTTACCTCATGATCCACGTGCCTTAATCACAAATTGGATATCCATACAAAAAAGGTAATATTTCGTTCCAAGGACAGCTTGTCTCTTACACAGCGACGAC